AAAAACTTTCTAAATCAATCCTTCCACAATCCTAGGAATATATACAATTCTATTTTCAGATCTGAACCAGTAACCCCACGTTTTCCAACAGTTAGGTTAAAATTTTTTTGGTGTTTTCTTATGTACTACTAGAGAAATGTGAAATGAGAAATGTAGAAGAATAAAATACGAGACCTCTTCCTCTTGTCTTATATCCGTCCTTCTAACATATCTGAAGTGTTACAGTAAAAACCTATTCAGGGACCTCACCTAACAGCTTGAGCTTTTAGGTTCAATGGTACCTTGAGATGGTATCAGATCCTGTTTGACTAAGTAGTCTAGTGTTCGATCCTTGTCGCCCCCATTATAATTGATTAAATTTCAGCACAAGGTATGGGTAGGCCTGTGCTTATCCACACTAAAAGCCTGATGGGCTTTCGCAATTGGAGTGTGTTAGAGAATAAAAATCTATTCAGGGACCTCACCTAATAGCTTAAGCTTTTAGGTTGAATGGTTCCTTGAGATGAAGGATTAGATAAGAATTGAATCTCATGCTAGATTTTTCCTGCATAGTTTAAGGATAGCATTGACTAGATTCTTGATTTAAGGGGTTGCAACTTGTTTATTGGAGATTGGATCAGGCTTTATAGAGCAAATTTCTATTTCCTAGAGTAGTATATTTAGATTGTAATGTGTAATTGTGTATGAGGAATGGGGTTATTTTAGGAAGACTATGAGTGTGGCAGAAATGCAAATGCTTAGATGGATGAGTGGTAAAACTATGAAGGACAGAGTTAGAAATGAAAACATATGGAGGACCCTAGGAGTAGCTCCAATAGGTGATAAAATGAATAAGTAGATTAAGCTGGTTTGGTCACATGCATAGAACTATAGAAGACCATCTATAGCACCTGTTAGTAAAAGTGATCTATTACAAGTTGAAGGGGCTAGAAGAGCTAGGGGCAAACAAAAACAGATTTGGGTGGAAGTAATAAGAAACATAATTTTCAAGGTGCTGAGGTGAAGGGGGTGCCTTGTTGCCAAGTTGCCTAGGCGGGCATCTAAATATTGCCTAGGTGGGCATCTAAATATTGCCTAGGTGATTGGATTTTTTTTTTTTTTTTGGAATAAGAACCATGAATCCTTGGGTAATTCCCTAGGTTATATTAGCAATCAACAACCATCTTTCATTATTAATAGTCTATAATCTTCATAAAAAATGTATTAACTTCATTTAAAACATAGAAAATCAACATATGAAAAAAATGGAAGAAAAGAAATTTCAGAAAATAGAGGGGCTAAGCCTCTTTTTTTTGTTGATTGGACACAATTTTGAGTTCTTCCATGCTTATTAGTTTAGGTTTTGAAGTCAAGGGTTCAAGATGGTATTCATCTTAATTGAATCCTAACGAATAAGAAAAATAATAGAAAACTAGTATTTTAGCTGAAACTGAATAATATTGTTTTTTAATGTCTATTTTATTATCATCTCATAAAGTTGGAATACAAAAGTATCCAAGAATTCTGATTGTTACCACCTCCTAATTTCATGCCCGTTTGTTGTAGGCCTCTGGGAAAAGGTCTTTGATCTTTTTGGTCATAGGTGGATTGTGCCTCTGTGGATTGGGAATCTCTTTGACTCAACCTTCAGCTGGCCAAAGAAGAGAGGTAAAATCATGTCGAGATGTCTTAGGGCTGCTTTGATATGGACGGTGTGGGAAGAGAGAAATGGCAGAGTCTCCACTGATAGGGAAAGGTGTGAGGAGGCAGTGTGGGAGTGTATTTTAAATAGAACCTGTTTTCAGATTTCTCTGTTGATGACTTGTGAAGAAACTGGGGAGCTGTAGCTAGATTTCTACCTCAAGGAATAAACCTGTGGTAGCTTGGGAACCTCCTGACAAAGGCTTTATCAAGTCGAACTTTGATGGCAGCAGTTTAGGGAACCCAGGTCTAGCTGGTATAGGAGATCTCAGGAATAATGAAGGACATATTGTTGCTGTTTTCTCAGGCCCGGTTGGAATAGGGGACTCAGTTTTTATAGAGTTCCAAGCAGTCTTGCAAGTGTACAGATTGCTAGACAGCTAAATTTTGACAGACTGCTCATTGAAGGTTACTCTAAATTGATAGTAGGGTGGCTGAAGGAACCAGAAACAGTGGTTTGGAAGTACAAGGAATCTATGAAAAAGTTCAGATGGCTGGTTAGAGATACGACAGTTTTTGCTCAATGGGAAAGGTGGTCAGCAAATGGGATGGCAGATTACTTTGCGAAGATGGGGTGCATAAGTCTGAACTTTTTTTTTTTTTGGGTTCAGTTGTAATTTGTGTTGTTGTTAGTTGGGATCACACCTTGTGTCCCTATTGGGATGGTTTGTCTTGTAAATCTCAATGTAATCCCTTCTCTTTTTTAATAAAACTCTACCATTCATAAAAAAAAAGCTGGACAGCAAATGGGATGGTAGATTACTTTGCGAAGATGGGGTGCATAAGTCTGAACTTTTTTTGGTAAAGTTGTAATTTGTGTTGTTAGTTGGGATCGCACCTTGTGTCCCTATTGGGATGGTTTGTCTTGTAAATCTCGATGTAATCCCTTCTCTTTTTCAATAAAACTCTACCATTTATAAAAAAAAGGTGGTCAGCAAAAGGGGTGGCAGATTACTTTGTGAAGATGGGGTGCATAAGTTTGAACCTTTTTTTTGGGTTCAGTTGTAATTTGTGTTGTTGTTAGTTGGGATCACACTTTATGTCTCTATTGGGATGGTTTGTCTTGTAAATCTCGATGTAGTCCCTTCTCTTTTTTAATAAAACTCTACCATTTATCAAAAAAAAAAAGTATCCAAGGGCACAGTGTAAAAAATATCTTGGTGATTGAGGTGACCCTCCATGAATGCCTTATCACCTAGGTATTACTCTACATGTTAAGCTACCTTGGTATTACCTAATTGTCATAGTTAGGTAGTATATCCTAGAGGTAGTCTCTATTTTATATGATAGCGGGTTGTTCTTGTATCATTTGGTGTAGCAATAGTAAATATGCCATCGCTAGGTTATTTGGCTTTTCATTTGACTGATAGCAACTTATTTGTGTTTTATTGGGTGGTTGCAAGAAATTGTTGTGACTATGTGAATTCATGAAAACCAAATCACCGAGGCATACACTTACTAGTTGATTTGGTTTATTCTTTGACTTGTAACATTTCTAGGTTTTTTAGAGGCCATAAGAAAGTATTATGATTATGTGAACTCATCCCTCTACATGTTAGGCTACCTTCGTATTTCTTGATATTCCTAGTAAGGTAGTGGTCATAGTGGATTTAGAGGTAGTTTCTATTTTATCATATGATAACAGGTAGTTCATGTATCACTTGGGGTAGCAACAAGCATGAACTCATTGGGTAATTTTGTCTTTCATTTGGTCGATATAATGCCTATGCTTTATTGAAGTTGTTGTAACCATGTGGACTAATCAAAACCAAATCACTTGGGCATGCACTCACAAGGTGATTTTGTTTTAAATTTGATTACTAGCATGTTTGTGACTTATTGGAGCATCACAAGAAAGTGTTGTGACCACATGAACTCATCGAAATCAAATCACCCAGGCATGCACTCATTGGGTGATTTGTTTTTTCTTTTGATTTATAGCATGTTGGTTAGTATATTGGAACTTGGAAGGCCACCAGAAAGTATAGTAGACGTTAGAAGTAGTCTCTATTTTTTTCATATGTTAATGGGTTATTTTTTTTATCATTTGGGGGTAGGAAAAAGACGTGCACTCTCTGATCAATTTGATTTTTCATTTGAAGTAGAATTTCTTTGTTTTATTGTAGAGTTGCAAGTAAGTATTGTGACCATGTAAACTCATTGTGATTGTAGCATGTTTGTGTTTTATTGGAGGGTTGCAGGAATGTGTCATGGTTGTTTGAACTAATCACTTATCATGTTAGGCTACCTTGATATTTCTAAATTGTCATAGTAAGGTAGTAGATCCTAGAGATATTTTTTCATATGTTAGTGAGTTGTTAGTGTGCCATTTGGGGTAGCAACATCTGGACGCATTCATTGGATAATTTGGTTTTTCGTTTGGTTAATTGCATGTTTATGTTTTATTAGAGGATCACAAGTGTTGTGACCATGTGAACACATCAAAATCAAATCACCCAAGCAAGCACTCATTGGGTGATTTAGTTTTCCATTTGGTTGATAACATGTCGTGTTTTATTGAAGGGTCAAAAGAAAGCGTTGTGACCATGCAGACTCATTGTTTCATTTGTTAAGCTATCTTTGTATTTCTAGATTGTCAAAGGTAGTGGACCCTAGAGGCATAGTTTTCAAGGCATTGAGGCAAGGCTAGGTGATTTTTTTTTTTAAATAAAACCCATCTTTCACTATTAAGTGTCACCTAGCCACCTTGGTGATGGGGTTTTATGAATAAAAATCATGAATTCTAGGGTAATTCCTTAGGTTTCATAGCAAGTAGCAACCATCTTTTGTTATTGATTGTTTATAATCTTCATAAAAATGTACAAGCTTCATTTGAAACGTAGAAAATCAGCATATTCATGAAAACAATGGAAGAAATGAAATTTCAGAAAATAGAGGGGCTGAGCCTCCACTTTTGTCCTAGCAAAAGAAGAAAAGAAGAATCAATATGTGTTGTTTTGAAGTCTTTGATGATTAAGTACTTGTTAAAAGAAGAAGTACTTATTTTAACAACCACTTAAGCTGTTTGGTAACCCACTTTTCACTTCACTTATTATGTTTTTAAGCACCTATTGGGGTGGGGATGTTTGGTAAGCCACTTTCCCTATAAGTGCTTATATTGACACAAATGATAATTTTAGCCCTCACTTCAGTCATGCATATATATATAATGCTTTTCACATGTTATGCTATACATTTTAACTAGAGTCCACGTGGACCCCACTTCATGCTATACATTATTCCAGACCAAAAACCGAAGAACTACTATTACTATGGCTCATGAAGGAATATAAACTCCTGGAACTCTTCTTTCCAACTGTTCGACCCATGTTGTAAGAGAACTTACACAATCGAAAACACAGGCCTCCCTGAACATTTAGACGTCACCGCCTCCAAATCCGGTTGGTTATTACTATCCTCCTTCAAGTTACAACTGCATTGCCCACTCCATCAAGCTCTTGTTATTTTGACTTCATTATACAATCCTTTCACCAAGGAAAGGATTGACCTCCCAGATCTAAGTTTCTCTTGGACCACTGCCACATTCTCCTCAACCTCAGAATCTGCTGACTGCATATTCTTCGCCGTGTTCAATGTAGTACAAAAATAACTTAGCTGATATTACTAATTAATAACAAAACTCAAACCCTCGTGAAAACCATCACCAAGGAAATCTCTCTACTTCACTAACAATTTGTGGACTCCATGGATTTCAAAAGCAGAAGTAATTAATAAATTAATAAATTTGACTGGAAATAGATAACTATTACCAAAAAAAATAATCATGGATAGAAAAGGGGTTTTGAAGTCGAATGGGATATAAAGGGTTACCTGTTTGTGATCGAGTTGAAATTGATGATGTTTTTGGGAAGAACATTGAACTTTAAACCGTGGAATCCAATCAGATGCTGTGTGTTTCGTTGATATTCTCGGGTGGGCGCATTTCAAAGTAGCGAGCGAAGAGCATAAGTGAGAGGAGAGAATGGCTGCCATGTAAATTAGGATTCCACGGTAAGACATGTTAGAAGAGAATTAGTGTACTCTGAAGGATTTTCTATTGCGCCAATAGTTCAGGCAAGATCGGGACATTCAATGTAGCTGAGAGGAGTTGGAGTGTGCTTGCAGTACCGGAAATACAACGTAATCATATCGGCTTGAGTAAGACTTTCATGGTTGAGTCTAATGGAGAGAAGTGAACAGGCAACGACCACGGAGATGAAGGAGACGATTACCAATGCGGAATGGAAGCAGCAGCTGAGAAGAAGAAATTCAAGGATGATGAGGAAATTGAAGTGGAGAAAGAAGAGAAGAGAGGGGTGAGAAGGCTGTATAATAATAGTCGTGTATCAAGTTCTCTGTTGGCGGAGAGACAGAGACAAGGAGAGAGAGGGAGAGAAAAATGAGAGAATGAGCATGGGGGTATTTTAGGCATTACAAGAAAATATTAGGGACTGGTTCGTCCCATTTTTTGGAGTACTTTTTTAAAAAGTAATAAAGCCACTTCTTTAAATAAGTACTTTAAAAAAAAAGTACTTATTACCCTCTTTTTTACCTAACACCCATAAGTACTTAAAAACCACTTAATGTGTGGTCCCATGTGAAATAAGTACTTCTTTTAAGTGTTCTCAAACAGGGCCTTAGTATTTTAATTTAAATTGAATAATTTAATTTAATAATGTCTATTTTATTATTATAATCTCAAAAAGTTAAGATTATAAAAGTGTCCAAGAGAACCATTAAAAGTTAAGATTATCACCTAGGTGTCGTTTTGGCAACTATGATAAAAAATGATTTAAGTGCCCACAATTTAATTTAACAACGGATATGGCATTGAACATAATAGAAATGACAAAATAGGATTTATGTAGCTGACCCCGTTTAGAAAAAATCTGTTACAAGTTGAAGGGGGCTAGAAGAGCTTGGGGCAGACTGAAAAGGACTTGGGGGGAAGTGATAAGAAATGATTTAAGTGCCCATAATTTAATTTAACAATGGACATGGCACTGAACAGAACAGAATAGTAAAACTGGAATTCATGTAGCCAATCTTATATGGATGGTGACTGATACCAGATTATATATTGGTCATTCTTCATTCATATAAATTAGAATAGTTTGACAAAATAACTCATAGGTCTCCTATAATAACAAATGGATGCATACAACTATGAACTATTGGAGTCCAGAAGTTCATAGATCGGGCCAACATTGGTTAATGGTCTTTATTTGGTAATTGATAAAACATCGGTGTTAAAATAATAAAAAAATGAACTAAAGTTATTTTTTTTAATTTAGTCTTTTTGATAAAAATGACAAAACATTAGTATTTTTTTCTTAATTTAGTATTTAATATGCAAATGGCATGTGTCTTTAACAATGACATAAATTTCTGCATATGTTGTGTTCTGATTTTCCATAAAAAGGCCGGTGAGATCCCTACACAATCCAATAATAAGGTGATAAGTACTCTTGAAAAAGGCATCTTGATAAATGTACTGAATCAGCATAGTTGCTGAAAGTACTTCTGGAGTACAACCTGACTGGCTTATTTTGGAGATTTCACTTTGGACCTTATCATGGAGGATCTAACTCTGCATATTTACTTTCATCAAATGGTACAAGGTCATGTATGCAATTTGTTCATGAAATCAATCCACAGGTGTAGCAACACCTTTTCTATCCCACCATAAGAAAAAGTGTTAACTTAGCAACCTGCTCCAAAAGGTCAAATAACACTTGGGTAAGAAAGAAGAAAAGGTGCAGTTTGACAGCCTAAGGGGAGATAAATTTAGTTGGGGTATTTAACATTTAACTGGTGTCAAAGGTGAGGACTTGGGAGTAGCTTCAATTAGTGATAATATGGGGAGAGTTGACTGAGATGGTTTGGTCATTTGCATGGACAACCAGTGATAGAATGTCACAAGTGACTCCTTCGCCGCACCATCAAGCACCTTCAGTGAGCCATCCGAGTGCCATCCGTGTGCCTTCATGGTGTCAACATGTGTGTCATGGGTGGGCTTTACTTGTATTTTGCAAGGGGGACCGCCAATGGCGTTATTGTAATTACTTAGTATGCTTTTCCATCATTTTGATGTTTCCTATTG